TTTAAGCGTCTCTAATTAAAATGTTATTATTTTTTGTTTTAAGGTTTTTATTATACAATAAAACCACCCAAGAGTGTGATTTCTGAAAAGTGGTTTCTTATTAGTAGACACTTTAAACTGAAACATTAAATTGAGTTCTCAATAAAGTGGTAATTAATGTTTAGTTGGCTAAAAATAGCCGCTCTTGAGAGAAAAAAAAATACCAAAACCTCCTGTGCTTGAGTAGATTTACTTTAACATACTAATAGAATTAAAATTTATTTAAAGATTCATTTTTGAATATGTTTTTTATTGATTTCAATTAAATTGAACTTTATTTAACACTTTAAGAAAATAAATTTAACCATTGTGATAATTTATTTATTTGTTGAATTGTGTTTTTGATGAATGTGGCTTATTTTTATATAAAAATGTACACACTTACATATATTCAATTGACCATTAAATGGCAAGTAATCCAATAAGTTTTAAGATTAAACAGAACAAAGACTTATACAATGAGTATGATTTATACGAAGATGAACATTATTACGCTAATGTAAATAGATATTATGATGATTTAAATGGCAATTTAAACACACTTTCATTTGAGAGTTAAAAACAACATTACCTTCTATGTCAAAACTTTTTTCTAAATGTTTCATGGATCAAACCCAATTTATCACACTCACACCAAATACGATCCTCTTCTTGGCGTGTTTGAAGTTGTTACTAGTAAAATATATCAATACAAAAACTAATCACATGTTATTACAAAACTAACAATGATCAGAGGTAAAACGGCGTGGGTAGTCTTTGACAGACAAACAACAATCTCTTCATGCAAAATTGCAGTCGATTTAATTATGAAAACAATTGAAAATGCACAGATAGTAACTGTTATTATTTCACATTCCTATTATAACAGATATGCTGGTTATCATAATGCATCCAACTAAAAGACCCCCTTTACTTGTCTCAAAATTTTAAACAAAGCTTTTTATATAAAAATTTATGCAAATGAAGCTACATCAAGAAGAGCACAGTATATGTACAGAGCACAATTAAAAGATTCGTTTACAAAAGAGACAGATAATTCAACTAAAAAAAGTTGAATTTTAATATTTTTTGTATTCTAAATATACAACTTTCATAAACTAAAAACAACTTATTGTTATTAATAGAGTCGAAATTGAATTCATGCCAACTCCAGAAACAGAAGCACATACAATTGTGATGTTGTATTGTCCAAATTTGAAGCATTTATTGGAGCCGATAATTTCTATGTTGTCAAGCATAATCTTGGTTTGTCATTTCTAATATAAAATATATCTAAATGATAAATATTAAAATTAGGAACAAAGCACTTAATAATGCAACTGTGGGTTATGGGAAATACATTCAAATTCACTTTGCAGGGAATAAATTTATTCTTTTAGAAATGAGAAAATCAACAAGTTCTGGCTAAACAAAAGAGATTTATACAAGCACATCCACAACTGGACACTGCAATATGCCAACAAGGGATACTACACGATTGAAATTAAAGTGTTTGTGAGACTTCCCGCCAGTCTCAACAAAGAGAGGTGTTGCAGAGGATTTTATGGCTTACTCAATCACAACATTAATTCACAATATCAATTATGCTTTGGAACATATGACAGCAATCCAGAACACTTAGACGAACTTCCACCATGCGAACTTGCAGTGAATGTTGTTGAAATGTTTGGTGGTGTTGAGAAACAACTTGCTATTGGACAAGAGGTTCACAACAAAGGTGAATACCGATGGTTAGCGACAATTTTGAATCACCTAGTATTTTTTTAATGTCAACATCAATAAAGCACGCGAACTGTCAGCTAAAAATACGACCAACTGGGGTACATTGATGGTTGCGCAAGTTTGTGACATTTTTCAAACAGTCGCTTACGAGTTAAGAAATTTGAATGAAAAAAATAAGGATTTTAGATTTATAATCTATAATTTACATTTAGGAGGCTTTTCTCAATTTTAAGCGATTCATGTTGTATTCCAAAAATATTGGAAAAAGACAAAGGAACAGTTATATAATTGGCTTTTAAGTCACAAATTTACACTACAATGTCAAAATAATACCTAAGTCTAAATATCGTGATAAAAGTTAATTCTATTAATTTTGAAAAAACAACAATAATAAATAATACATTTAAATCATTTTTAAAACCAGTAAATTGAAAGCAACATGATAAATAATAAATTGAACAAAATGTTGTTGTTGAACTTATTAATTCAATTGATTGGTGTTTGATTTGCATTCAAAAGATAGGACGGTTAATTGGTCATGTTTTGGATCAATTAAATTAATTGTCAATATGATAATTTTAAGTTTTTAAATTATATAATTTTTGGCTTATTTTGTTATTTTACTGTTTAATATATTGTTTCATTAAAACCTGTGCCGGTCTGAAATACGCGCAGTATTTATTTTGAAATATTTGTTTGTTGACAAAAGTTTAAACTAAAGCCGCTGCATGATTTTAAAAAATCTTAAAATGAATTTGCATTTTTTCTTATATTTTACACAAAATTGTCTTTAATAAGAATAAAATAATATTTAAAAATAACTTAGTACAGTGGACACTAAATCTACATTTTTTAAGACTTAATAATAACAAAAAAATGATGAAAAAATTACTAATGTTTG